GCATTTATTATGGAAGGCAGTTGTGCTGTAAGATGTGTATAAGAAGGGGCTTTGGGGGATGGAGGAGGCAGACTTTTGTTGAGTACAGAATTCTGAGAGTGCTTGGGAGAGCCGACGGTTTCTCGAAGAACTGACCTACTATAAGTGATCTTCTTTTCTTCTGAATGAATATCAGTTCCCTGTTGATGTGCTAGTAGTTTGGATTCTGCTGTGAGTTTGTGAACTGCGTGTCAAATTTCTGGGTCATATCACATTGACAGTCCATTTGGCACCCCCACCTGGTTCCAGTCTTCCACATTTCCAGAGTTCCAGAGAGAAAGGCTGCTCTGAGCGTCCAAACAAGGATTTTAGTCTTCAAACCTCAAACAGGGGTTTCAAACGTTGAGCCTCCGAAGGGTTCAGACTTTCAGGTTTTGACTTCAGTCTTGATCTGTTTCAAACTGGACAAGATTTTGGATTATTGGGAATTTGACTTAGGTTTGACTCAAACCGATAAGAACATGGACCAATTTATCTTGGATTAGTTCAACCCAGTAATTATAATGGACCGTCCAAATCTGATTTGATAAGCTTTGAATCGGATTGGATCCAATCCAAAACCAGTCCATTGACACCCCTACCAATAGTCCAATATCTCCTTTCTATACTCTTTTTGATGCACTCCAGATCATAGTTTCTCAACATGTTGAATCTGCAAATAATATCAACCTTAGGGAAAGTTTGGAAGTAAATATTTGAAAATAAGTACTTATTGAATAAGTGATTAAAAAAATGCTTATTCTAATAAGCACTTATAAGCGTTTGGTGAAGAAGCACTTATTTTAAATAGGGATAGTATAGGTATTTTTAAAATGATGTGGCAGTCCAAGATGGGCCAGAAAGGAAATAAACACTAAATAAGCCCAAAATTTGAGGTTCTAAAATAAGTGTTTATTCTTATTTCAGGCTTATTTCCAAAATACAAATAAGTGCTTATTGGTGTGGTCTTGGCCCAAAATAAGTGATTATTCGAATAAACACTTATTTTTAATCAGTTCCAAACTTAGCCTTAGATTTGTTACTTGTTGCACTTAAATATTGTTTCTCCAAATTGAAACCTCACATTTTCTAGTAGTCATAAATACCTACTTCCAAAAAGCCAAACTCTAGTCTACATTCAGATTGCAGTCTTCTTCCCAGCCAAGTGGCTAATACTTGTCTTAAAATCAACAACTTTTTACCATCAACCATGAAATGGTATTTTATTTTATTAACCGTATGATGCAGTAGGGCTGGAACAAACTATTACAAGACAGAGAGAGAGAGAGAGAGAGAAAGAGAGAGAGAGAGAGAGAGAGAGAGAGGGTAGAGAAAGAGAAAAGAGAGAAAGAGAGAGAGAGATCCCAAGGAATCACTCCAAGGGTCATAGAATCACTCGGGTTTGTAGGAATCACTTCATACAGGAAGAGAGCTCTAAAAAAATCTTCATTCATTCATTAGCTTCAAAAGGAAAAGAATACATCTATTTATAGAGTGACTTGTGTGGCCCGGAATACTGTTCACCATAATTACAAAAATGCCACTCCTTGTCTTGGGCATCAAGAAACACAATAACTTCCTATCTACTAATGCAAATAAACTAAAAATTGAAAGACAAGCACTACTGAGCTAGAGGACCAAGATGTTATAGCCCAAACCTAAATGGAACTGGTCAAAATGACGAAAATGCTCCATATTGTCCAAAAATATACCGAAATATAGAAATTTTTAGAAAATTCCAAATTTGATTCTTCAGCTCCTACATTATTCTCCCCTGGTTAAAAAAACTCGTCCTCGAGTTTTGAAGACCTTGAGGATGAAAAGTTGATGACAAAAGGAGTAGTAATTCCCATAGCCACTTCAACACACTTGGGTTGTAGAGTAGATGTCACACATAGCTATAAATGGATCATGAAAGTAATGTATGCCTGAAATAATACCTTCCATAACATTCATTATTAAATCATCAATAGCATTAGCTTCTTGAACACTGACATCATCAATCAACCTATCTTGTGGTGAATCTTCCCCTTGCTTACCACACTATGAACTTTCATATCCAAAATCTCATTGCAGCATTTGGAACTTTCCTTCAACCTCTAGTTGAAAAATCTCCATCTCTATGTGTTCAGCTACCCTTGGTTCTTCAGCAAACTCTTGAATTTCTACCATTATTGATGTTGGTGAAACTTGTGCTATGTTAGTTTGTAAATATTGAATTGGTTCCAGTTGAACTTGTAAGGTAAAGTCATGACTTGTTTCTTTATTATCATCTACTACAACCAACACGTTTGCATCTTGCACCCAAATTTCTTCAACTTGCTCCACTTCTATCTCTTCTTGATCATTAACCTCAAGTTGACCATGGGTGCTGGAAGTTCCTTCTTCAACAATTCTAATATTTTCTTGGTCCACACCCTTTTGATCTTTAATGTTAACAACTTCTATAGGTTGAAATTCTTCATTCACAACTTTAACTCTAGGACGAGCATCGACATGCAAGAAATCATCTTCTATATCTTCAACTTTGTACTTTCTTCTCCTTGGCTTCAAATTCTTTGTTGTAACCAACTGTTGCTTCTCTATCTTGAGAGCCAATTCAAAGGCATGATCTAAATCATGAATCTGAATTGTAAACTGATTTGTGCCTTTCACTTTCTGTAATGTCACATCTAATATATAATTCATCAAACTTATACATATATTGAACTGCAGATAGCATACCTTCCTTGAGATTAATCAACTCCACATATAGATCATCATGGAAGTATTGTGGAATGCACTTTTCTTGCAAATACCTCTTGATCTCTGACCATGTGGTAATAGGAAATTCACCTCTATTTTCTAGACGTTGCTCAAGAGTATAACTTTGGCTGTTAGGGGCCAATAGCCTATGCTATTGAGAGAGTTTCTGGGTTGGGCACGTTCTCGGCAATTCACCTATTCACACCCATGTTTTTGTTTTTGGTCAAGATAAATTATGGGGAAATTATTAATTAACCCACTCTCATGGTAACGTGGCATTCCCAAAAACTCTCTCAACAGTATAGGTTGTTGGCCCCCAACAACCAAAGTTTTTCCTTTTCTACCATATTTAGCAATACCTGTAAGCTTCATGCATGTAAATCTAAATCTTTGTTTTTCAAACATATCATGTCAATTGAAATATTCTTCTAGTATAGCAATCTAATCAAAGAATGCTTGTTAGTCTTCATCTCCCTTGAAATTAGGCACTTCCCTTTCTCTTATAACATTCTCGAAAACCTTACTCCTATAGTCGACATTACTAGATCTACTTTCTTCCACCAACTTCTCATGTAAATCAACAATAGACCCTTCATATGGTTCAAAAACCCTATAATCATTGATTTTAAACCCATGAGATTGTTTAAATGATAGCCTAGGCCTATAAAATCGGTCGCTTTGTGAGAACATGGTGACTAACCATTAGCTTTGATACCAAAACTGATGTAGTAGGGTTAGAACAAACTATCACAAGAAGAAGAAGAAGAAGAAGAAGAAAGAGTAGAGAAAGAGATAAAAGAGAGAAATCCCAAGGAATCACTCCAAGGGTCCTAGAATCACTCTAGGTTTGTAGGGATCACTACATATAGCAAGAGAGCTCTAAAGAAATCTTCATTCATTCATTAGCTTCACAAGGAAAAGAATACATCTATTTATGGAGTGACTTGTGTGGCCCGGAATACTGTTCACTATAATTACAAAAACTGCCATTCCTTGTCTTGTGCATCAAGAAACACAATAACTTTCTATCTACTAATGCAAATAAACTGAAAATTGAAAGACAAGCACTACTGAGCTAGAGGAACAAGATGCTATAGCCCAAGCCTAAATGGAACCGGTCAAAATGACGAAAATGCGCCATATTGTCCAAAAATATACAGAAATATAGAAAATTTCAGAAAATTCCAAATTTGATTCTTCAGCTCCCGCAATACATAAATTTCACATGGGCCCAAGAATTAACAAAAATATGTCAGGATACATAAATAACAGCCCAAGATTGACTGTTCATCAGAAAACTAAAGAGAATTACCATGTCACAAATTTCACATGGGCCCAGTATCCCAATATGAAAGAAGAAGAAGAAGAAGAAGAAGAAGAAAGAGCAAAAAGAGAAATGTCATTGCTTCCTCACCCAACTATGCCCCCAAATAACCATTAAGGACAACAGTCCAAGAAACAACATCTCTTTCCAACATTCTGTCTAACACCTTACGAGCCTCCAATAATTTACCAACTCTCACATAACCAGAAATCAAAATATTATGTCTAGAACATTGAAATCAAATCATTATCTACAAACGTCACAGGAGCTCCTAAGTATTTAACAACTCTTGGGTTTTGTGTAGAATGGGAAACACGTAATTTGTTCAAAAACAAGCAATCTTGGCAAAAAAGATGGTTGAAATTGAGTAATGTATAAGAAGGCAGGCAAAGCATTGCAGGGATTAGCCATTTTCATGGGAACACAGACAGTTTGAATCTATTAATCCCTGTTCCTATTACATTAAGTGAACAAGAAGAGAAGAATCTGATATATAGAGAGCTCTTACCAGATACCGCTGCAAATTGTGTGTGTGTGTGTGAGAGAAGAGAGAGAGAGAGAGAGTCAAAGGAAGAATGAGAATGGGCAGCTTGGGGCACAATTATTTCTCATGCTGTAGGCTGCCTCAATTTTTGTGCCATTGGTCCCTTTTTCATTCTAAAAAGAATGAGGCCCATGGCAAGAATTTTGTATCCAACGCTTGCATATTATTCATTATTGCCTAAGAATGAAAAGAATGAAACCCATAGCAGCGAACCAAACATGGCCATGGAGTAACATCTTTCAAAATAAAGTCCTGTTGTCTTTGTTATACATCATTTGTAAGTCTACATTGCAGAGTTTCATTTCTATTGAAGAAGCCAAAAGGAAAAAAAAAAAAAAGCAAATGGGTGGTATAGTTAACAGAGAAAGAAAGTTATTTGCTGCTGATGCACAGAAAAAAAAAAATTAAGAGTGCTAATAAGAAGCCAAAAAAAAAAAGCAGTGGAAGAACTAAGGCCATCTTATATAAGTCTATTACACTCAAGAAACAAAGGCATACACAGATCAGAAATTTCAGAGATGAAGGAGTTTATATATTTTCTACCTTGTTGTGGCAATGAGTTGTCACATTGTCAGGATGGTCATTTCCTGTGACATTGTTTTGTTTGGTGCCTTGAGGAAGCCCTGCCAATTACAGATAGAATGAGTTAGTATATTGAGGCAGACATTTTTAAGTGGACAGGGGGTGGGTCAAGTAAGCATCCTCACCTTGTGCCTTTTCTTTTATTCGGTTTAATGAAAGCCACATGTAAAGAGGGGAAGGTTTCTATGTGCATTATTCATGCCTGGCCTGGAGATTCTTATTTAAAGACTTGACACATAATAGTAGAATCCCTTTTTTTTAATTAGAAGCAACAATAGATGTGTGGCTTACAAACACAACTAAACCAATGATATCTGAAATCCAATTTAATTAGTTAGACATGACATGAATAAAATACTATTTTGGTCCAAAAAAAAGTGTATACTGTGAGCTTCAACACACCTATGAAATTCTGCCTGCTCTTGTAATCGTAGATCTTGTCAATGATATAGCATATACAAATTTATGCTAAATAAGAGACACAATGATTCCTGCGTAGTTGTTAGGTTAATTAGCAAGCAAAAACTAACTATATAATTAAAAGCAATTGATGCCAAATAAGAGAAAACTAACCTATTCATACATATTTAAGTGAATCTCAATTTAAACCACCGAACAGTAGGCAGCGTAAAATATTAGATTAGGAAGAGTGAAATATGACAATAGAAAAGTAACCTATTCATACAATTTGAAAAGAAGAAACTTTGAGGGCATAGCCAGGAATTTTTTTTCATGAGCCTACCTAGGGTTTAACTTTTTTTTAGATCATGTTTGTGCTGGACTGTTTGTAACCAAATCCACTTATATATCTGCACACAGCACACCCACCTCTTACTCTCTAATCGCTGTCTCTGTCTCTGCTACATTTTTGCCCATGTGTAAATACTAGTCTCCGCACTAAAAAACATATTTATAACATCAATCACTTATAATATGATTTATATTATATAGAACTATAATGCATAATGGAGTTCAAAAAAAAAGGAGTAGATAGCCCATATGTGGTAAAAGGATTTAATAAAGTAAACATTTACGTTTGTATGTTACAAGTAGCAACTATCCCTAGGAAGCCAGTGTATCCTGTTTCTTAGTTCAGCTTGGCATTTCCTTCATGATTTATGTACTTCTTGTCAGAAGAATTATATATGTTATATACTTATACTATATTTATAACATATATTATAATCCATATATTATAAGATTCACTGTCTGTAGGAAGCCTGTGAATCTTGTTTTCTACAGTTAGGAGGCCTTATCTATCTATGTCAAGACTTGGCACAAAAAGGTAGGAATTCATATGCATAATGCTGAACCAAATAAAAACTCGAGTATGCAGGCAACTGACAGGCCACCAAAACATTCCAACATAGCAATATGGAATTGATATCTAAGAACCTACATTCGAATTGTGGATTATAGTTTCCTGGTGAGTAGGGGTGTCAATCGACCGGTTTTGGTTTGGATCCAATTTGATCCAAACCTTATCAAATCGGATTTGGACAGCCCATTATAATTATTGGATTGGGCCAATCCAAAATAAATTGGTCCATATTCTTATAGGTTTGAATTAGACCCAAACCAAATTTCCAATAATCCAATTACGAGGCCAAACCCCTGTCCAATTTGAAATCAATCAAAACTGAAAACAGCATAAAATCACTTTTATGAAAGTACTTTTACGAAAAAATTTTTATACAAGCACTTTTATATAAGTACTTTTATGAAAAGTATTTTTATGAAAGCACTTTTATAAAAATACTTACAAAAGTACTTTTATGAAAGCACTTTTACAGAAGTAGTTTTATAAAAGCACTTTTACAAAATTACTTTTACATGAAAGCACTTTTATGAAATTACTTACACAAAAACTTTTACAGAAGTACTTTTATGAAAGCACTTTTATAGAAGTACTTTTATAAAAGCACTTTTATGGAAGCACTTTTAGAAAATCACTTTTATGAAAGAACTTTTACGAAAGCACTTTTGCAAAAGTACTTTTATAAAAACACTTCTATGAAAGTACTTTTATAAAAGCACTTCTACGAGAGTACTTTTACGAAAGCACTTTTACGAAAGTACTTTTATAAAAGTACTTTTACAAAAGCACTTCTACAAAAGTACTTTTATAAAAGACTGTACTTTTCGAAAGTACTTTTATAAAAACACTTCTACGAAAATAATTTTATAGAAGTCTGTACTTTTCGAAAGTACTTTTATAAAAACACTTCTACGAAAGTGCTTTTACAAAAGCACTTCTACAAAAGTACTTTTATAAAAGTCTACAGAAGTACTTTATGAAAAGTGCTTTTACAAAAGTACTTTTACAAAAGTGATTTTATAAAAGTTATAAAAGTACTTTTACAAAAGCACTTTTCCGAAGTACTTTCAATAAAGTGCTTTTGTAAAAGCACTTTTATGAAAATATTTTTATAAAGTACTTTTACAAAAGTGCTTTTTCAATGCTAAAAGTGCTTTTATATAATTTTTGATATTTCATTCGGTTTGGATTGGATCTGACCCAATCCATTTACATTTTAATGGATTGGATTGGATTTGGTTTGTATTGGATTTGGACTGGATTGGGTCCAGTCCATTTATAAGTGGATTCACATTGGACTGGATCGGGTTGGACGAAATCCATCCAATTGACACCTCTACTGGTGAGAGCTCACCTGTCTCTGGAGCTCTAGAGGGTTTTCAACAGATTGAGAAAGGTAAAGGAAGCTTCATTACGGCTTCAAAATACCAAGACAGCAAGCAATAGATTGTGATCAAGCTCTTGGGTCTTGAAATGAATAATAATAAAATAACAGGCCTTAAATCATTAAGAACAACAGACCTGTCCCTAGATCTGCAAGGAGTTTCTGACAGATCAAGAATGACCTGCCCATGACCAAGGAAGAGGAAGAACATGTAAATAACAGAACACAACAAAATAATAGAGAAGAAAGAAATGAATATCAGGAGAAAATCTTACAAAGAATATACGAAGACAGGAGCAGGCGAGTATCTGCAGTTTATGGATATGGCAAGCAATACAATGAGAACACTCTGTAACATGCCAGAGGAGCTCTTGCATGAGAAGAACTGCAAGCAAGAGTTAGAACAATAGCACATTCGCCAACAGATAGCTTTTCAGTTCAAAAAATCATTTATTTCACTTGTCTCAAGTGTCCATTCCTTGATGTTGTTTGTAAGTTCAAATAATGTCCTCTGGATCTCATCTATTTGCGGATGACTCCAGTGTGCAACTAAAAAGAAGTGTATCTGGTTACCCACTTCAATCCAGCTAAAACCAGGCTCCTTTTCCATTCCTTTCTCTTTAACCGAGCGCCTCAGGCTTGCAACCATATCCCATCTCCCACTTGCTGCATAGATGTTGCAGAGCACAAAGTGAGCTTCTCTATCACAAGGCTCCAATTGAAGAAGCCTTGAGGCAGCTAACTCTGCTTGTTCCACCTGACCATGGACTCGACAGGCTCCAAGAATTGTCCTCCAAACAGAAGGGCCTAGATTGAATTGGGTATCCCTGATAAATACTTCTACTTCACGTAGCTTACCAGCACGTCCTAACAGATCAACTATGCAAGAAATGTGTTCTTCCTCCGGTTCAATCCCATAATCTTGCTTCATGCATCTGAACAGGTTGAGACCTTGGTACACCATCCCCGAGTGCCTACATGCAGACAGGAGAGAGAGGAATGTAATGGCATCCGGGGTCTCACCCTCTTCAAGCATCTTCTTAAAAAGTCCGAGGGCTTCTTCACCTTTTCCTTGTTGGGAGTATCCTTTCAGAAGGGAATTCCATGATACAAGGTCAGGATTAGCAATGTCCTTGAAAGCAGCCTCGGCTTCTTCCAAGCAACCACATTCTGAGTAGAACCCCACTAGTGAATTCTTGACATTAATGTCGGGAAGAAGGCCCAATTTCAAAGCTGCTGCAATAAATAGGATACCCTGAGAGAAGGAAGTCAATCTCCCGCATGAACTGAAAATAGTGGCAAAAGTGAATTCGTTTGGCAACTGGCTGTTGTGCCTCATCATAGTGACAAATATCTTCAAGGACTCTTCTTCATTACCTGGCTGTTGAGCATAGCCTGAGATCAACGCAGTCCATGAAACAACATTCACTCGAGGCATAGAGTCAAAAACAAGCTTCGCTTTGTGAAACCAGCACCATCTAGCATAGAAGGTGATGAGAGCGTTCCCAACTGAAAGGCTCGAGAGGATGGCTGTCTTGGTGGAATACCCATGAAGCTGTTCACCCAGACTTGGGTTTCTCTCAAGGCAATAACTAGAGGACAGGAGACTTGAAATAGTATAACAATCAGGGTCCAAATCTAAATCAGCATAATTGTTGTTCCGGTAATAAGAATAATAGAACTGCATGCTTTTGAAATATTGGAAGGCCATTTCATCCCTTCCATTCCGAACACAGCCTGATATAATTGAATTCCAGAAGACCACGTCTAGCACAAAATGTTGCTTTGCACTTGAAGTTGCAATTTCATCGAACAAATGGCATGCAGCATCAACAATTCCACACTTGCTGTAGGCATTTATTATACATGCTCCCACATGAAGCCTAGTGAGATTGCCCAATTTAAGAGAAATAGAATGAACCGCCTTGGCCAATGCGGCCGACTTGGTGCTTATGCATTGTTTGAGAACCAAAGAGAGATGCTCAGTCATTTGATTTACAAATTCATATACAAAATAACATCTTCACCATGAAACCACTCAACCACCAACTATTGCACTCGTTACCCACCTACAGCCTACCAACTAGCACTTATACCATCTCCAACATAGATGCATCAACTGTTGCACTTACTGCCTTGAAATTATTAGGTTCCTAAACTTGTCGATCCCTTCTACCAACCAGTGCATATACCCCACTTCAGGTTGGTTCAGGTGTAAGATTTCTGAGCATGAACCCAAAAACTGTGGGTTCGCATTCCCCCCCAACGTCCCACAAAACCAAAACGCGACGCGTGTTATGACACACGCGCATTAAGCGAGACGCGTGCGGAACCCATTTTCACGCCGTGAATTTTCACACCTCCGTTAATTCCTCTTTTGCCCAAAAGCGTTTCTTCTCCCATATTCTTCCATTCTACTTCGAACTGAAATTCTTGATGCCGAACACCTATCGTGACCTATTCACTGGAGATTAGTTCGGTCGAGTTCCGCCAGCAGACTTCGACGGTCATACTGGTAGGAGGTAAGTACTCTCTGACGGCCATACTAGTAGGAGGTAAGTACTCTGTAAGTTTTTCTCATTTCTTATATATATATTCTTCCATTCTACTTCGAACTGAAATTCTTGATGCCGAACACCTATCGTGACCCACTCACCGGAGATTAGTTCGGTCGAGTTCCGCCAGCAGACTTCGACGGCCATACTGGCAGGAGGTAAGTACTCTGTAACTTTTTCTCATTTCTTATATATATATATTCTTCCATTCTACTTCGAACTGAAATTCTTGATGCTGAACACCTATTGTGACCCACTCATCGGAGATTAGTTCGGTCGAGTTCCGCCAGCAGACTTCGACGGCCATACTGGCAGGAGGTAAGTACTCTGTAAGTTTTTCTCATTTCTTATATATATATATATATATACATATATACATGTGTATATATATTGTTTTTTCTCATTCTTTTTCTAACATTCAAATATCTGAACCCGCTAGTGTGGGAGCCCCCTAACGCCGTTTCAAATCCTTGACACCCCCGGAATTCGAAAGCCCTCCAAAATTCGAAACTCTCCAGCAATTAAAATTCATATGGTAAACAGTAGTTTAGAAGGAAACATAATTGCCATGCTAGGAACTGTTGGTGTGTTTCAACACTTTGACTATAAGAGGAAATGGCTGACAATTTGTGTTGATGCAGCATGGAGCAATCTACATGTTAGATGAAAATCGGGAGCAGGATTATAAAGAGAGAAGCCAGAGGTCTGAGTTCTTTCAACAGTTGGTCCTATCAACCATTTTCTAAAACCCTTTGCAACTTGAGTGGGTTATCATAAAAAGTACCAAAGAAATGCAATGATATCTTCGAAACACCTTATTTATTGCTCATGTATGCATTTATGTAGCTGCTATGTCTGGAAGAGGGATTTTGGTAATAACCAAAGACGGTATTTCTACTGTTGTAGCAAGACAATGTATATTTATTTGTATATATGTAGTAGCAAGAGTCATAGTGTTGTGTAGCAAGTACTCAATAGATATATACTCTCATCAGCTGATGCTCCTTTAAATCTTTGCTTTCCATTGCTGTTACATGATCTTTGTAGATATGGCTTCCAGGTCTAAGGTTGCATTTTGCATTCCTTGTTTTAAGGACTCCTTTTTGTGGTTAAAATGCCTCCAACGCCAAAAAGAGGTAAGTCCTTGAAATAAGGAAAGATAAATGAAGCCTAAGACTTAAAAATTTTTACCATTGCTAAAACCAACTACCTCTTCCGAGAGAGAGATCGAATTATAGTATAGATACTAATAAAGAGAGACAGAATATTGACAAAGAACATACATGACAATCCAAAGGGAATTGTGATCAAATTCATTTGTTGAAACTGATCTCTCAGCTTCAGCAGTGTCCTCTTTTTCTGCTCGCTCCACTGCCTTTGCTCCACCACTGGATCAGAAGCCGGTACTAGTGGTGCAGCAGCAGCAATATAATCTTGTCTTCTTTTCTTTCTCTTGTAAATGAAGCCATTGTCATTGCACAGCTCCTACTCCTCCTCCCAGGCTATTCCAGCCATGGCCAAGCGCCTCAAGTCAAAACTCAAATTCCGGAGAGTTTCAAAATTTGGAGGGCTTTCGAATTCTGGGGGTGTCAAGGGTTTGAAACGGCGTCAAGAGGCTCCCACTCCGGTGGTGTCATGACACACATTCCGCAAGAGAGGAATTAACGGAAGTGCATTTCACAGCTTAAAATGGGTTCTGCATGCGTCTCGCTTAATGCACGTGTGTCATGACACACGTTGCGTTCTGATTTTGTGGAACGTTTTTGGGGGGCAAGTATGTGGGGGGCAGATGCGAACCTGGAAACTGTGTGGATTGCTAGTTTGTCATAATATGTGGACATTTCTTTCTCCTGCAACCTAAAACATGGTTATTTTTCTCTCATGACAATTCAAGAAGAGCAGCCTCTTCTTCCTGCAAAAGTAACGATAGGGGGCTGCTCATCGGTGTGTTAGCTGGTTGGATTCACCGTTGACGCGAAATCAAATCCCGAAACCTACACTTAGGGGAAATAGGGGTAAGGGGAATGAAATAACACGGTATGTATTTTTTTATTATTTTTTGGTAGAAATGTATTTTTTATTATTATTTCCGTTTATTTTCCAATTTCATTTACACCGATGCAAATGAAATAGCACGACAATGTATTCTCGTTTATTTTTTATTAAGTAATTTTGGCAATGAGTAATTATCAGTAATTATTTTTTAAAATTATAGCAAAAAACTATAATTTTCATAATCAATTATTGGTAAGTTACATTGGTTTTTGGTGATTAAATTGAAAAAAGTATTGGGGAATTTTAACTAAATTCGTAATTTCCATAACTATTCAGAAAATTTAATATTTTTTGAAACTCATTAAATAGGAAATTTATTAAATTGGAAAATTTTAATAATTTTCAAAGTTAATAATTGGTAAATTATATTGGTTTTTGGTAATTATTAAATTCGAAAATTATTAGAGAATTTTAACATTGATAATTTACATTTTCTAATTATTGGTAATTTACATTTGTTTTTGGTAATTATTGGGAAATTTTAATTTAGTGATTTCCATAAACTAATTTTCATGTTTTTGTAATTTAATTTAGAGAATGTTAATTTTAAAAATTCCAATTTACTGATTTTTTTTATATTTTTAGTAATTGATTATTCATAAGTTCCGATATTGTTTTTTGAAACTAATTTATGCATAACAATAATTGCTAAAAATAAATAATTAATGAATATATTAATAAGTACCTATATTTACTGATTTTTTTAATATTTCAATATTGTCAAATTTATTATTATTATTATTATTATTATTATTATTATTATTATTATTATTATTATTATTGTTATTGTTATTATTATTATTATTATCAACATCACCATCTCAAGTTGATAACTTTTACAAAAACAATTCAGTAATTTTCAGAAAATCATTTTCATCACAATAATTAAAATTTCAATTTATTTTGATATTCTCACTAATTAATTATTCATAATTACATACAATTTTAAAAAATGATTTATTCATATTAATAATGGTTAAGCAATAAATAATTAAATAAAACATTAATAATTACTGGTATTTACTAAAAGTTTTTAATAAATGAATATTAATTCGTTATTAATATATGAAATTAATTACTTATTAATATTTTTCATCTGAAATTGATAATTATTACCTGAAAATTTTAGTAATTTTCAGAAAATTATTTATTTTGTAACTTTCAGAAAATTATTTTTTTTAGAAAATTCCAATAATTTGTAGTAATTTTCAGGTAATTTCAGAAAATTATTGATTTTGAAAATTATTTTTTGTAATGGAAAATATTTTTTAATATTTTCATTTACATTGGTTTTTGGTAATTATTAAATATCAAATAGGAAAATTATTGTGAACTTTAACTATATTTATAATTTCCATAACTATTTGGAAAACTTAGTACTTTTTGTATATTATTAAGTTTGGAAAATCTTATTATTTCCATAATTAATTATTGAGGATTTTTAATATTGATAAATTGTATTTATTAGTTAATAAAAATTTCCATAAATATTGGTAACTTTCATTGGTTTTGGTATTTATTGGGGAAATTTAACTTAATGATTTCCATAAACTAATTTTCATGTTTTTGGTAATTTAATTTAGTGAAAGTTAATCAACTTGATTACATGGGCCCGCTGGTAAGTAAGGAGAAGTACGGATACATCCGATGCAGAATTCTGAATTCCAGCCCCCCTACTGCTAGCGATCTCCTCCCTGTAAACCACATCCTGTCCGTGAATTTTGACATTATTCCCCCTCTACTATGGAGCTATAAAATTCTGATATGGGCTGATTGGTCACTCTAAGCACTCCCAAGTCCAAAGTGAGGAGCTAATCGACTTAATTACATGCACTTCCGTCTTCCAAATCTGCCCGGGGTTCGGAGAATCTCAGCCAATGGGCACAACAACCGAATGTGGGACCCATGTAGATCATACCTCATACCATTCTCTAGCCCATACTGCTCTATTGAAATTTTAAACTTTATATAGGATTTGTTTTGCTACATGCAGAGATGATGTGGCCACAGGCCACTGGCCAATAACAGCATACACTTGTGTGAATATAAAACTTGTCATCTCATTCATTCTCATGAAGACAAACAGTAATAATAATAATAATAATAATAATAATAATAATAATAATAATAATAATAATAAGTGTCTCTATTGAGGCTTAGGCCTCGTGTAAGATGAGTGCAAACTGGTTGGATGCATACTTGCATTCTGGTTCGGTTTCATTTGTATATTGTAAATGAAATGAACAAAATTCCAATTTTTGTGCTCAAAATGGGTTAATGTAAAAAGGTGGATTCTAGTATTGGAATTTGTGTTTATATTTATTGGGTGTATATTTGCAATTTGGTTCAGTTTTATAAGCATTTGTATATTGCAAATGGCAACAACCAAGAATTCCAATATATGTTTGCATTCAAAAATGGATGCAAACTTTTGAGCTCAAAGTGGTGCTAGAATTTGTGTTTGTAGTTATGGTAACATATCAAAAATCACTAGGCTCCGTTTGGGAAGAGTGCAGATTCCGGTTCAGTGCATATATGCAATTTGGTTTAGTTTTACTAGTGTTTGGCAAGATTATATTTGTGCATTGACAATGATAAAAAACACAGTTTCCAATGCATGTTTGCACCCAAAATAAGAGGGAATTTTATATAAAAAAATCAATGTACATTTGTACTTGAAATTGACCAAATGTTAGAAAGGTATATTTTAATTTTGGGATTCATATTTGCATCCATTATAACTAAAAATCGTTTAACAAGAAAATAAATTTATCAATGCAAAACTAAACCAACTTTGCATCGAAATGCACTTTACATATTTGCATATGCACTCTTCCCAAACGGAGCCTTATGTAAGAATATTAATTTGTCATTGCAAAACTAAACCGACTTTACATTTTTATGAACCAAATATATTTGTATGTGCGCTCCTCTCAAATGGAGCCTTAAGTAATTCAAATCCAAACGTCCAAGGCGACCTTCACCATTGAGCCTTCTACCTATGAACTACAAGATTTATAGATGAGGTTGTATTTGGTGACATTGTATTGTTCTTTCTACCTCAATTGTTTTTGTTTTTGTTTTTGTTTTTTGAAGTGCAATTGCTTTTGGGTTTATCAATACAAATTAGACACATCTGCCAAGCTGATTGTTGTTTGTAGAAACATCAAATTGAGATTTTTTTTTTTGCTCTATGGGTTTAAGGCCATGTTTGGGAGTGTTTAAGTTAAAAATAAGTGCTCAAAAATAAGTTCTTATTTGAATAAACATTTATTTGCATTTGGCACCCAACTTTTTCAAGTACTTATTTTTTAAAATAAGCACTTATTTTATATTGGGTGCTTGGTGGTCTTTTTTCTCCAATAAGCACTTAAATAAACATTCGTGACTATTTTGTCCTTTATTTTCTTTCAAAATTTCAAAATATACCATTTGAAATTACTTTTATGATAGTGCTTTTACGAAAGCACTTTTAAAAGTGTTTTCATAAAGGTACTTTCTTAAAAGTGCTCTTGTAAAGTACTTTTATAAAAGTGCTTTCATAAAAAGTACTTTTATAAAGTTCAACTAGGGATAATTTTATAAGTGGTATTTTAAAATTCAACTAGGGATAATTTTTGGGAAACACTTGCCCAAGTAAGTGCATTTACCCATGTTCTTTTATTTTCCAGGTAAATAAGGCAATGACCATTTTAGCCATAAAAATTCATTATTAAAAGGGGCATTTTTGTCTCATTCAAGTGTTGGAAACTTCCACCTATGTGGGAAAGTTATTTACTCATCTAGGAGATGGGTATCACTTTCTTGAATAAGTGTATCTAAGAAAATAAACTTTCCCTGGTTCCCACATAAAGATGAAAAAAGAACATAGGATTCTTGATCATTGGGAACCAAAATCCCATTGACCAATTTTCCCCACTCTCAAAATCCAAAAAAAGAACACCCTCATAATATGACCAGGAAAATGTTGAGTTGCATTTGGGCTTCACTAAGCATCAATTATTTGGATTTGGGCTTAATCTGTTTCTTTGGCCCATTAAGCCTTTTTTACGTGGAACTTGCATAATTGTTCTGCACTACTATAGTAGAAGAGAGAAAATGTAGATTGTTATTTAAGTCTAAGAGGAATAGCATATAATTCTTGATATGGACGGCTAGCTCACAACTCACAAACATACACTTATGTTTGATGTAGAGCATTTAACAACGAGACCAACAATTTCAGAGACCAACCTTTTCTATTATGAGGTGATGCAGATGGGGAGGTTTCTCATTCAAGTCTTCTTTTACACGCACTTTCCAAAGGTATGGAGAAAAGTTAGTAGGTAAGAAAGAGAAGCCCGGAGGCATTACCTTCCTAGGTTGTGTTGGAGAAAGGGAAAATATAAAAAGAAATATTCTCAAATTTATTTTTGATCATGTTTTACTTGTCACTTGTGAAATATTATAAGATGGAACTTGGAGACTAGGGGTGCAAATGGATCGATCCTTTCCGATCTCGATCCTATTTGGTTGAATTCGGATTACCTTTAATCGGATTTTTGGATTGAATAATTATGATTTGATAAAAAAAAATCGGATTGGATTCGGATCATCTTATTTGACCTGAGAAAATTGGATCCAAATATATATATATATATATATATTATTTATTTATTTATTTTATATTTTTATATATTTGTTATATTATTTGATTTTATAAAAAACATGTATATATATGATAAAAATAATTAAAAAACACTTGTATTTTTTTGTTTTTACTTTATTGAAATTAGTATATTTTATTTTTCTTTTAATAATTTATTAATTTTTAAAGAAAACAAGTCAAATCGGATCAGATCCAAAGATCCGATTTACTGACAGGATTCAAATTCAAATCAAATCCTATTAGATCCGATCCGATCAGATCAGATCCAACATAAACAATGTCAAATTGGATTCATATATACCTTAATTCGAATCCGATCCGATCAATTTGCATCCCTATTTGAGACCATAGTCGCAGTACTTCCTTACAATCCTAATGAAATGCAAACATGTCCGCATCATAGATTTTTCCAAATTCAAAACATCGAATGTTCTACTTTTTTCATAGGAGTGTTTTTATTGGAGGGTGACAAGTAGTGTGCAACCATGGTCTCAACGGATGTGCTTTTTGATGAGATTAAAGATATATGGTTCTCAAATTTCGAGAAGTGGGGTCACAAATTTGGTGTGAAAATATGTGAAAGGTGGGAAATGCTTGTTTAATATGAAACTGGTTTTGGTCCTTATAACACTTGCAGCCTTGCATTGAGAACATCTCTCCATGAATGAAGAAATATAAATACTCCTATGTTCTGAAGCCAATGATCATAGAATTTTTTGTGCTCAACTTTCCTTTCTCACCTCATTCCATTCTATCAAAGTCTTTCAAGAAATCAAATGCAGACAAGGAAAAGATGAGTTTCCTTTCCCTTACCTTAGGGAAATAAAAGATAAGATCTGACCATCAATGAGAACAAAATTTGCCCATGAAAGAGGAGTTTGGCTTAGTAGGCACAACATACAAAACAAAAACCACTTCTTTTGGTATTTCTTCGATGATATATACAAAGTCAAAGAAAAGTGTGACTGCCCATATTTGCCACATGGCAAGTTGGCAACTTCCATAGAAGCTTATAAGATAAACAAATCAATAAGGTTGTGCTTGGATAAGCTTCATGAATCATGATTTGTGTTTTTAAATCCCAAAATCACAAAACCACAATTTTAGATTTTGCTTTTTTTTGAGCTTAAAATGTTTTGGCTTTAAAATAATTTTTTAAAAGCAAACTCTTACCAAACATTCAAAATCCAAAAGCAAAAGCTCATTAAACAGAACCTAAATAAATGAATAAAACTTTACATTCACCAAATATGCAAAGACGCAACCTGAAGACATATCCATTAATTAGGGGCAGTTGTAACTCGTAAGGCAAAGGTGTCCCTAATTAATTAAGGGAGGACCCGAGTCGTGCCAATGCCCTTAATGGGATTTAATTAGGCTCCGTCAATGGGTCTGTCTGAACCAAATCAAACCGATTATGTTTGTTTTGGTTTCATGATTTTATCCTGATTAAATAATTTTTATTTGTCCTGAATCAATTATTTTTTTAAATATATAATATTTTTTAATTTTATCATATTTTAGGTTTAAAATGGTAAAATTGATAAATTTAATATATATATATATATATATATATATGAAAATATTAGTTAAAAATGTTTAATGAATTTATTAATATATAAAAATTTAATATTTTTATCATTTTATTAAAATTATATTATCAAAATTTATATTTTAAATTATTATGTAAATAAATAAATATAATTTTCAGAATAATCGGGTCTATTGGGTTAACCGACTATTAATCGAAACGATTCCGTATCCGTAGCTTCAATGTGCTCAAATCACGGGCCTAACAATTGTTTGATGTCATAGTAAATTTCCATACTATACTATTTATAGTCCATTGATAAGGTGCAAACTTCTGTACGGGCAGCAATCAAGCGGATACCAGCGACTTCACGTGTAATTTGGCGATTGGTTGATTGCTAAAACACGTCAACACCCTTACCGGTTTACCATGTCCCATGACTCCCATCCTAATCGTCCATTGACCATCCAAACACTTTGGACTTTGGATTTGAATGACAGCACATGTTCATGGTCCTTGAACTTGATTGTTTGATTTTGATTTGATACATCACAAGCGGTCTAAAGCTCAAACGGACCCCACATGGACAATTAATGGACGGTTCTCTATTTCATTCAATTCTAGACCTACCCAGTACACCTAACGATCATCACGGCTTAAATTATCAAAACGACGAGAATCATCAACAACCAACCTTAGATCCCCCCTTAATAGTCGTTGATCTTCCCTTTCTCCTCAAATCTTAGATGGTCCAATATACATATTGTTTTTTATAGTAACACTAACAGTTACCTAACTACAATAATCCATTTGGGCCTCTCCGGTTTCCACGTGGATCCATCCAAGTCAATTGCGTGCACGGAGAGTCGGAGACACGAGCCCAGCCCACAATTGATTTGATGCAGCAGCCGGCCCCACAACCACCCCTCCCGCCACCAATCTCGCCAGACCGACACCCTTCATCAATCTATAAATACGAGAGCGGGAGCAAGAGAGTGAGTTAGTTACTTTGTTAGTTATTTCCGTTAAGATGGCCATAGATGAATCGTTCAAGCGACCGGGAGCCGTGCCCTTCGAGTGGGAGATCCGGCCAGGTATTCCCAAGACCCAACCACAACAACCACCGCCACCGCCACCACCAGAGAAACCTTGTAACAAGTCACCACCCAAACCACGCCAGAAGCTTAAGCCGCCACCGGCCGGGCTGCACTTCTATCCGCCGGTTGAGCTAGGCAGCCGCCCGGTCCGGTCGACCTCTCGATCACGGTCCGACCGCTTGCGTTTTCATCAATCTAGTAAAGTCCGGTCTGCAACTGTTTCTGTGGAGTGCTTCTCCACTCCATTGCTGAAGCGCAGAGGTAGCAAGAATAGCAGTGACAAGGTGGAGACCGAGCTTTATTACGCCTCCGATCTCGAATCTGTGCTCTCCCGTTGGTCGACGTCAACCCGGAAATCATCAGTCTCGCCCCTCCGTGACTCCCCATTCTCATTTGTGTCTGTGCCGTCTTCGCCGGCGATGTCCAGCAGGAACAGGAAGTCTTCAGTGTCTCCCTTCCGTGACTCGCCTTCTTCTTTCCCATTTATCTCCGTGCCGTCTTCGCCGGCAAAGTCCAGCAAGAAGTCTTCAGTCTCTCCCTCCCATGACTCGCCTTGTTCGTTCCCATTTGTGTCCGTGCCATGTTCCCCGGCGGTGTCCAGAAGGAAGTCGTCAGCCTCTCCCTTCCGTGACTTGCATTCTTCATTCTCATTTGTGTCCGTGCCGTCTTCGCCGGCGGTATCCAGAAGGAAGTCGTCAGTCTCCCCCACCCGTGACTCGCCTTCTTCCTTCTCATTTGTGTCGGTGTCATCGTCGCCGAAGCCGCGGAGGAAGTCACCCTCCCCACTCCGCGACTCGCCTTCTGTGCCATTTGAACTACCGCCGATATCGACCAGGAGGTCCATCTCCCCTTTCCGCGAATCATCACCAGTACCCACCAGGAGGCCCCTCTCCCCGTTCAACGTAGCGTCAGCGATGTCCACCAGTAGCAGGTCCGTCTCGCCGTTCCACGACTCGCACTTCTCCTTCCACTCCATGTCCGTCCGGTCGTCGCAACGAGCAACGGTTGATACCGAGTGGGCAGGTTTTGGCCTCTTTTAGTCGATCGCCACCATGGAAGCAAATGATCACTGTAGTGACTAGTAAGGCTTGATGGGTGGGATTCGTGGGAAAGCAAGACTTCTTGTGATTGAAAATCCAGATGGTCTGCACATGGAAATGTAATGTAGGACCGAGAAAGAAAATACACTGTCTGCTTCTGTATATTCAGAAGTCTGGTTTGGAGAGAATTCTGTAGTCTGCACATGGAAATGTAGGACCCAGAAGAGTGCCCATTTTCTCCTTTTGTATATTCAACTGAGATCTATAAGAACTAAGAAGTATCCAAGCTCGTATATCTTTACCAGCTGAGCTAGTTGGTCCCTTTTTATATGATGGGATGATACCATTGTTCTTATTTTCCAATTAAACTGGTTTAGATGTTAAAAATCCCATCCTGGTTGATCTAAGGTTCTAAATCCTAAATGGTAAAGCTGTTTGTAGTAGTTTAGTTGAATTCAGACCTACCTAGACGAATCTGATTAAGCTATAATATGACTTGATCAATCAAACCCCAGAATCCAAATACGTAATTAAGAGGATCAAATTCAGATATGGTAAGATCCAATGTAATTCCATCTCAATATCTGTTTGTGTTTGTCATCTGAATATCTCAAAAGTTTTCGAGATACTATAAAGTGTCTGCATTACAGTAGATGGAGCACGACCATCTCTTCTTGTTCTCTTTCTAGTTTAGATAAAATTCTGAGCCAAAAGTTTGCAGAAGAAAAAAAGAAGATTGGAAGGATGATCAAGGGCTCATGATTGATTGCCATCAAGAACAATACAAGAATTGGTCGTTATCAGAATGAATTCTGGTAAGTCACAGGCATGGTGGTCCTGCAAATGCCACAGGACCTACAGAGCCATTTCTTCACGGTTCAACATTACAAGTTTTTATCCATGGCCCCAAAGCATGGAGATTGAAATAATCCTATACTGTAATTTTTCCTTGCTCAAAACTGTGATTGTAATGCTGCCATGGCTAATGATCCAAGTGCATCCGTAATTTAGGGTTCCATTTTTGTTCTTTAATCTTCTTAACTAAAGGAGGAAAGCAATATTGCAGACATAAAAATGGGACCCAAGTGAGGTTCCATTTCCACTTTTTTCATAAATAGAGAGAAGCAGGCCGAATTTATTGTGATGTATCATTGTTATTATTTAAGGGTCAAACCCATAAAGTATTCAATCTAAATAGTTGACGAAGATTGGCTGCATCTGCTATCATAGGAGATAGGACCGGTAGTTGCAGTCTGGGGTCTGTTAACTTTCAACGTGTAAATCGTCCAGAGGATTAAGACCAATGTTTTAAAAATTAATCCAGAGTCTGAACCGGTAATTGGTTGGTTTGACCGTTTTAAATCGAATAGGTCAAATCAACGTTTTTAAAAGCGATCCACAACCGGAATCGTTCTGGCCACCAATGGTTTGATTACCTGGTTCGAATAGATGGTCTATTCCAGCTTAAAAATAATTAAAATAAAAAACGGCTAAAAATTATTGATCATGTCAAATAGGTTGATGGTTTGACCGCCATTATCAGCGGGTAGGAGTAGCACCAGCGGGGAAGAACTTTGCCCGCAGTGTCAAGAAAAAACAATAATGATAGCATCATTTATTTTGGATAAATTTAAATTTAAATCCTAAATACATGATTTATTTAGACTGTATTAAATTTAAATCCTAAATACATCCTAAATACATGATTTAAGTAGGGAAAGGAAGGAAAAGACCGGGAAGCCTTTACAAACTTTGTATAAATTTCTTTACATTTTCCTTCTTTTCCCCACTTTTTTCTTCAAACCAAACATAACTTTAGGGTTTTCATTTTCATTCCAGAACTCATACAATTACTGTTGCCAGATTGGAACCGAGCAGATGATTGAACCAGGAACAAGTGAACTTTTTGGGTCCCAGTTATTTGATGGTTTTTATAGCCCTCAATCATGTGGGTGGTTGCAAGATTTATTAGTTTTTGATGGCCCAATGAACCAGTACTAGAATTAAAAACCTAAATTAATCTATGTATTAATTGATGTTCTAATTGATATCGTGATGATTTTTTAGCTAAGTTTTATATGGATTAATTGTGAGAAAAGAAAGTATTACTAACTACTTAATAATACCTAATTCTTTTTATAATACTTCTTTGTTAGAATGTTGTTGTTGCATTCCATCACTTAACTTATTTCAACACTGGTCCACATCCAAAGTCAATGGACACCATCTTGGGCTTTTAAATCACAAATGGACTAAACAATTCCATAACTCAATGTACACATGCGCCCATGTTTATACTTTGTCCTTTTGTGAAAAGGCCCATGAGCCCATTATCTCCACCTCCAATGGAGTTGTGTTGCTTGAAAGAAAGTTGTTTTTGGGTGCTGCTCAACCAAGACAAAAATGTTGGTAATGCATGTATAATGCACTTAATTTCAAGGAATAAAACTTAAGGCTTCAATTTAGGCTGTGTTTGGTTTAATAGAAAATAAGAGAGACAGAAAATTGAAGAGGATATTCTTAGAAAAAATCTATGATTCAGAAGAGTTTTGACCAATCAAAGCACCCTTGTGAATTGTCATGAATACCATCTGATTGGGTACCTCTTTTATGATACCCATTGATTGATGGTAAGTTTTTCCAGTATCATGTCGTTTCGGTATCATAGTCAAACCCAAGTTCTTAATGATTTTTCTGAAATTCTGCAATAACTTTCCCTCAGTTCTCTGTTTCTCTTTTATTTCCTATCAAAGCAAACACAGCCTTAGATAAGGCCTGCTAACACCCAACCCTTCCCTTGCCCTAAATAGCATAAACCCAACAGAAGCCAAAAGGCTAATATTAGCGGGGCCAGGACCCAGGTAATTTTGGGCTGGGCCTGTGAAGATCCCAGCCCAACTTCTAGAACCACAGATAACCGAAGTAGTTCTAACTATAGCATCATTTGGTTGCATAAAAAATGAAGGGAAAGATTTGATTCTCTACACCGGATCCAAATGGAGGGCGGTTTTGTGTTGGGCTGTTGGACCGGGTATCTGAGGCTAAATTAGCAAACCTGGACCTAGGTCACTACCGGTCCAATCACTTGGATTCCGTGGCCCACGGCCCACGAGCCATTTGAAATGTAGGCCCAACCCCATGCATAGTCCCCTACCCCCAACCCACTTCACACGAATATCGGTAAGTCCAACTTCCACCACTAGAAAAGTACAGATCAAAAATGTCACATCATACGGGTTGAATCTTGACCCGACCCACTCAAGCCAGATCAACGTAAACCCAGCATAGAGACCACCTAGCTGGACAGAATCCGGCTCCCGTCCAGTCGCCATCTCTAGGTTTGGTATTCTCGATCCGAGTGGATCCCCATTCCACCAAACACGTAGTCAATTCTGGGCCACTTGTCGAATAGTCTGATAAACCCGACCCGACCGATTCTACTACATTCACCCTGTTGGAACGTAAAAAATATTTGGTAATTTGGTTGGTTCCTTTTTACTTCCCTTGAAGAACCCTAACTGGAGTCCAACTCTAAAACATCAACAAATTAACAGAATTGAAACATTAGAAACCCAAAATCCATATACAAAACCAATTGAGAATTTGAGATTCAGAGTCATTAAAACTTAAACCCATCTTCCAATCAGAATAAATAGTCTTGAGAGACTTCTCTGTCTTCGTCTGTATCTGCAGTAACAATCTAAACCCCTTCGCGGCTACCCTCTGGCACTCTGACTCAAACCCGCCCGAATCCACAGAACCAAGGTCTAAGGAGTGTTGTTTTGTTGGTTTATAGCGAGTGACAGAGAGAAAGAAGTAATAATAATGAGCAGTGCAGTGCCTTCGTCGTCTCTGCCTTTTCCCTCTCAGAGTCTCGTTTTGGGTCCTACAGAGATCGCTTCAAAGACCCAAGATTCCGCCATTAATCCCCATCAGGCCGGCTCCGGCAATAATCCCTGGAAGCGGGTGCCTGAGCCTCCTCGCAACTCTCCAACTGCATTCGTCATGAATACTTCCTCTTGGCCCGCTCTTTCTCTTACTTCTTCCCCGAAAGCTCCTCCTGAGGTACGTATATGAATGCCCTTTTTCTCTATCTTCTCCCTCTCTTTCAGCCTTGTCCTTTTCGTTCTTTCTATTTTTAGGGTTTCTGAATTTTTCGTTCGTTAGTGATTTTTCTTTTTAATATTGCGGGGATATTTTTTGATTTATTTTATTTCTTTATATTTTCTTGTGGGTTTAGGTTCAAGTTCAATTGACAGAATCGCCTTCCAAGGAGACGATTCCCAGCAAGATTCTGCCTTTGCCGGTTGCTGAAACCAAGAACATCAATGGTAGTTCGGTCTCCACCGATATCGCTTCTGGGCCGGTTTCTCCGAGCGACAATGGGTCCTCTTCTAGTATGAATTTGAAGCTTTCTGTTTCGGTTGATGTATCTGTCGATTGTCCCGGTTCTGGTGCGGAGAAGCAGAAGCCCAGTTCAACTTCGTCGTCGACAACGACGGCAAAGTCCACGAATTCCAGACCAGCTCCGAGTCATTCGTCGAGGCCTTTCAATCATCACAACAATCAGAACTACCATACTTCTCGAATGGGCTCTAACCAGAGGGGGACTGGATTCAATACGAGGGGAGGAAATAGAGGTGGAGATGGATATCATCATCATAACCAGAACTATTCGAATAGGCGGCACCAGCCGCGTGGCTTCAACGATTGGAATTCTAATCGAGGGTTCAATCCCAGAGCGGTGAACCCGCAGCACCCGCCTCACGGATTTGCTAATGGACCTGCAGGGTTCCTCGCGCCACCACCGCCGCTTCCGCATTCTTTCCCTCATTCGACTGCAATGGTCAATCCTCCCTTTGTCAATGTCCCCCCTCCCCCTCCCCCTCCTCCAGTTCCAGGCTACATGGCTCCTCCTCCTTATGGGTATTACAGTAATCCGTACTTCACAGGTAAATATTTAAGCTTATTTTCTTTGAATCGGAAGGTCTTTTGTTCTGATTGATCAGTCACTAACTCGTCGGATTGCAGATGCGTCTACTCCAGTTTATGGCCCTCCGATGCCAGCCCTGGTGCCTTATATGGAAGCTTTGAATGGCCCGCCGCTATATCCTCAGCCATCCCCGCCGTACAGCTTGCCTAACCCAGATGTTGAGCTGTGCACTAAAATACAAAAGCAAATTGAATATTACTTCAGGTGATTAGAGAATGATCAGACATTCTTTCTCTGGTTATTTTGGCGTTGCTTGTTTACTTACAACTTACCCTTAAATTGTTTTTGCTGCAACACACAGTGAAGAGAACTTGGTGAATGATTTTTACCTGAGGGGCGAGATGAATGGTGAAGGCTGGGTATCTATTAATCTTATTGCAGGGTTCAGAAGGGTGAGTTGTCTCAACTCTCAATGGATGTTATATTTTATTTTGTTTTAATAGAATAGATTTGCATGTCATGTTCGGAATTTTTTACTTTCTGTTGGTGAAGAAACAGAAAGAGGAGAGCAATGTAGTCATTTTATGACTTATAGGTTCTAGTGTTCTATATATTGTGAATTTTCTGTCTGAGGTAGTAAGTTTTTATCAGAATTTCATACTGAATTTAGGTTCTGGGAAGTAATTTTCTCTTCAAATATGTTGTACTCTAGAAAAGATTGTAAATTCTCATTGAACGATGTGATAGAATTAATCAAATGATTGTATGGAGATTTTCTTTCTAGGATGTAATAGAATTTTTTGTTTCAACCCATTCAAGTATAAAAGAATAATCTACTTCCTTGGAGGTTAAATTTTGAAGTAGTTAGAAAATAAGAAATAAAAGATGGTTAATTAGAACTTAAGCTGTAGATATCATCGAGTAATTTGGAAGATGATTGAAGGGAAGTAGAGGTTCTGAGTGAGTTTGTTCTGCATCTGGATGGATGGGTATGATATAAATTAAGGGAAGGCGCTAAGATTGAAGCAGCTCTGTTAATGATAGGATACAAAGTAGCAGATGGAACAATTTCCTATATGACTAAGAACTGCAGGAACTGCAAATATTTTAAGAGTAACTTGGTATAAAATGCATGAATCATCTCTATTAACAAAGAATGCCTCTATGGTCAGAAGTGGTAATCTGTGTGACATACCCTGAAACAACAGAGAATAACATGATTATTAGGTACGCCTGATGTTATACTCTAATGACTGCACTTTTTGTGCTGTTTTATACACTTATTTTTTTTCTTGTGATAGTGCATGTCTGGTATTCCATAAGCATTGAAGATTCATGTGACGCATTACATTCTGTAATCCTTATTTGAACTTTTGTCTACTTTTATCTTGTGTCATGAATATCCTATTTTCAGTCTCAGGGAGGATCACTATATGATAGCCCTGACCTCTGTCTTTATGGTATTTTTTTGGGCTTGATTACCAGTTAGGCGTAATTCACTAATTGAATTGTCTCATGGATCCTAGGTTGGTAGCAAATTATTCTAGATGTTGATACATGGTGTACATGCATGTCTTCCTTTATATTTCTTGAATCAAGATTTTCTGCATCAGGTCCTTGTTTCAGTACTCTGTTGCCAAATTCACCAGGCTCTAAACTGCATAACTTGAGTGTCTTAATTCTGTTTATTTTGTTGAATTTAAATGGATATATCTGTATTGCTTATATTTTCTATATTGTTCAATGAATCCTTTTTATAAATGCATTACAGAACATTTTACATATATCAAGCTTTAATTAGTTAAAACTACTGCACTCATTTGCCCCATTGTGTTATCCAATTGCCAAGATGGTCCTAAAGTTTATTTGTTTTTTTTCTTTGGCAAAGTAATATACCTAAATTATAACTCCTGTCCTATTTTTATATCAGATTTTGTATGCTTTGTTCAGCTTCTCATACGTTTAGTTAATTTGTCATTAAAATAGTACAACCTTTCTGTTTGGTGTGTGTTCAAACATCCTTTCTCCACCTCACAGCTGTTGTAGGCATACATGTGTTGGGCTATCTACGCCACCCGACTCATTTGTCAAATCATGTCAATCCCTATCACCTATTAATCTATTAAAATGGAAGCAACAAATTAATTGAATAACCTGATGTCATTTTCCCATTGTTTTCTTGACACGTATATGTAAGTTGCAAGGATATTTACCTTCTTTCTTTTTAACACATTTGCATGAGTTGTATAGATTAGAATCAACATTTGTTATAATGTTCAAATTTCTTTCAAGAATGATCTGGTTATTTTTACATTTGTTTTTATCAGCTTTTTATGTTGGGATTTTTGCCCTATTAGAGGGCTGGATGGCCACCATAAGTGTTATATCCTATTTATTCACATTTAGGGTTGATTATAAATTTTATTTCTCCTGCGTTACCTAATAGTTGAAATTCGATATTGATCTCTGGTTTTGGTTTTCCTTGTGAATTTGTTAATTCTTAATTTATTATCAGTGTGGTGGGTTTTATTTATTGGTATGAAAATACATATGAAGCAGCCAAAATGGCTCAGAATAATGCAGCCTTTACCTTATTTTTCTTTGTTAGCTATTGAATGTTCTTTAATGTTAGTTGCCATAATCTCGACTGAACTACTTCACTAGATGTGAAATTTAGTGTGACCTAAAGAAATGTACCTTCTTAAGTTCTTTTGTCATTCAAACCATTAACAATTACATTTCCCTGGCAGTCAATAATGCTTCTGGAAAAAGGAATATTTCGTTAGATTAACAAACATCTTGTTTTATTCAATTATTTTGCATTTACATTATTTAAATTGCGTGGAAAATGTTACTAAAACTACAACTAGGTAATAGATAAAATGTGTTCTTGAATCCTTTTTTTTGAAGCCAAGTAAGAGATAAAAATGTTACCTTTTACTCAAATTTGCCTCAATGAATCTTGTTTATGCTCAAAAGTTTAATTTAGGAGGCTGGGATTTGTGGGGCTAATATCCAGGTAGACTGTATTTCAATCATTTCATTTCTGTTTGATTTGATGTTAAATTTCCCATGCTACCAAGTCAAACTTTTAAACTGCCCATACTACATGTTGATCCAGTAGCTGCACTTGTGGCAAATAACTCTAAATTGCATGCAAGTCCTGTAGATGTTTTCTCACTACTTAGCCTTATGGCCTGTCTCTGCCCTCTGCAACCGAAAAGTTTTCTCATCCGCTCCAGGGTAGTCTAAGGTGTCCCTATGTATTTTTCTCCCATCCCCCCTCCATTATCATTAATAAGAGGAAAATATGTGGTTAACTTAAAGTACTTGCAGAAGAAAGATTAAACAAAAAATGACTTGATAGGTGTATTGCTTGAGTTGGCTCATTTCACATAAAAAACCTATGATGTTGGGGCTGCCTTCTCTATGTAGGCATTTGACAAATGATTCTTGTTTTTATTTTTTACATTTGTTACCATTTTTGTCTACCATCAAAAGTAATCATCAGTGAAGAACTTGAACAAGTGACCTACATTGCAGATATTTCTTTTTTCCTTTTCTCCTTCTTTATTGGTTGCATGTGCCATTCTCCTTTTTCATTCCTTTCTCTTTCTCATCTCCCTACTTGTTTATTATTCTTAATGCATATTTCTTTTTCTTCTATGTATCAGGTTAAAGCAATGACTAATGATATTGGCTTGATAGTGAGATCGTTGACTGCTTCAACTGTTGTAGAAGTAAAAGTAAGTTCCAATGGCCATATCAAAACTTGTATATGAAATATGATTTTGCTCAATCTCATAATCACATTTGGTTCTCAGGATGACAAGGTGCGTAGACGTGGAGACTGGAGTACTTGGATTCTACCACACCGTTCTACGAGCGCAACGCATACAGCTTCTCTTGAAGACACACTAAATGGTCTTCACAATTTGCAATTGGGTGGGAAATCTGAACCAGAAAATCAAGAAGTTGAACCAAAGATGGTGAAGCGATCTGATGGTTCTTCTAAACAACCAGTTAAAGAACTACCTGCTAGCAGAGGTTAGTAAACAACAAGTCCCTTTAAAAAAAGAAGGAAAAAAAAGCAAAGGGAGAAGCACATGCGAGAAGCGAAGGAAAGATGAACCAGGAAAAAAGCAAATAAACCTTCTTATGGTGCTTTCCTGAAGTGAAGTTGCGTGCTCAACTCAGATGCATCTCGCTCAATTCTTAGTGTGCAAAAGAGAGCACATACATGGAGGTTAGAAGCAGTAGCCTCTGCCTACTAACTTGCCCATGATGTTCATATGTGTATAGAAGTCCTTGTTACTCTTTTTTATACTTCTTATTCGTCGTCGCTTTTGGTTAGTCTGGGGTGGATTCCTGTCTTATTTTACAGACACGGAAAGCCAATTTTGAGAATTATTTGGTCATTTGAGGAGCCTAATCAAAGATTCTTTGACTATTAGAGCATTAATTGTAGGTCTTAGTCTGTCCATGTCTCACCAAAAAAAGGAAAAAAGGGTCTCTTCATGTAAAGTCCGTTTGACCTTGACACTATTTCTTTTTTAATACTATTCTGTAAGTTCATTGAAACGTTGAATTTCTTTTGGTTTTTATTTTTATTTCTTTCTGCATGGATGTTTATGTGTCAGTGCTTTAATATCATTACCCTTGTTCTGAGAAAAAACCAGAATAGAAAAATAGCAGGTTGTGAACAGCTATTTGTTATGCTTGAACCATTGACGACTGGGTCAAGGAGAATTTGAAAAAGAAAAACGTTAAAGAGATTGGTTAGTCTCATATGGGTAAACTGGGTATATTGTGTAGGCGAGGCTTAATTTATTTCTTGGCCTTGATTTCTTTTTGCCTACTGTGAGAGTTGCTCTTGATAGTTCTAAACCTACGCAATTGTCCGTAATGATGTTTGGGAAAAAATCAAATCCATACGGCTTGAAGATAAAATTATTCGGGATGGAAACTCTTCAGGAGTTTTTTTCTATTTAGTCAGCTTATTTGTATTTGCTGAAATGCTCCTCAATCCACGGGGTTAATAGTTGGTGCAGAGCTTATTTCAGTGTTCAGTGTAAGATGCGACTCCTGATGCTTGTGAAATCATTTTTCTTGCTTAAGCTTGCCTATCTCGATTAGCTTTTATTGTTAAACTAAAAAACAGACACTTAGATGTTTATAGAGTAGCAATGTTAAACCAACGCTTCTATGCACTCTTTTCTGAATTTGCTACTGTAGAAATGCAATCTCCTTTTTGGGATTTCTTTCTGGGCAATAATTGATGTTTTTTTTTTTTTTAAATTTTTTAGGTATGTGGCATTGTGTCTAGGGGTGTCAATGGTATTCGAAAATTCGATTTCGAATTCGATATTCGATTATGTCGAATATCGAATTCGGATAATTCAAATATCTGATCTATCAAATTTGGACACCCATTCTTACTAAATAGTTAATTGGATTCGAATTCGGATATGACTTGATTCGATTTGATAAATATTCAAATTTGACCGATTATTTAATTCTTATATATAATATATAAAATATTTTATTAATTTATATATTTATATACTTTATATCAATAAAATATTTATTAATTATTTAAAATAATTAATTAATCAAATTCGAATCGAATCGAATATTTGAATATTTAATTGAATGCAAATTCGGATATTAATTTTCAATATCTGTCATATATTGAATTGAATTCGGATATTGCCTGATCCGATTCGAATTCGATCCATTTACACCTCTAATTGTGTCACCACTAGTGTAAATGATGGGAGTGCAAATGGGGGCTTAAATACACTTTTTATTTTCAGGTTTGATGTTGTGTTTGTTTGTTTAAAAATAGAAAATTAAAGGATATTTAGATATTTAGATACATCTCTTTGAAATTGAATTTCCAATTTGGTTGAACCTTAATTTTGTCCATGTGTGTATTTGTCTTACTTACATACGGGCAATTACAAGGGCTTCCACTTGTCATCATATCCAAATCCAAGATATAACTGAGACACTACAACAGGACATATTCCACAACTGGAACAATTCTCGGCCAGGTCAATGAGATGCACTTTCCCAACAACCTAAATAATCTCTTCTCCTAAACTACCTCCCCCACTATCCCTCACTTTCTTCAAAATTATCTCTAATTCTTATTTATCTTCTAAATTATCTTTAATTTCTATTTATCTCCAAAATTATCTCTAATTTACTAGAGAGATTCTCTCATAAATTATCTATAATTCCTATTTATCTTCTCCCCTACTTTTTATCTATGTCTATCTAAATAAAGTTTGGATTAAAAAAATTTAAGAATTATTTAAATATTCTAACAAAAGTATAAAATACCTTTAAATATTTATTAAAAATACAAAAAAATAATTTTATATTTTTACAAAATATATCACAAAATTATGTACTAACAATTTAAACTATGTTTTTCCGGATTATCAATTTAAATGTTTTTTAAATATTTAATAATATTTAATAGCTTTAAATAAATATTCAAATAACAAAAAAATTTAAATATTTTATAGATTATTTAAATACGTAAATAACTAAATATTTATCATAACTAGATTTTAAATAGTTAAAATAACAAAATTATGTAATAAATTTAAAAAATTTCTTCAAAGTAGAAAAATAATTATAACATTACATTTAAAATAATAATAATTTAATATATTACAAATTTAATAATGAAATTATGTAATCATAGTATAAATTATGATTTTATGGATAATTAAATTCAATAAATAATTAATATTATAAAATTTAAATATTTTACATATTATTTAAGTTTTTAAATAACTAAATATTTTAAACAACACAATATTTAACATAACTAAATTTTAAATAGTTAAAATAAAAAAAAATCTCAAAAGTAGAAAATTAATTATAACATAATATTGAAATTAATAATAATTTAATATTTTTACATAATATTGTAAATAATTAATTTCACTTATATCAAGTAATAATTCAAGAAAATAACTTAAAAAAATAATATTTATTAATAATAATTTTAAACTCTTAATGTACATTTATTAAATAATTATATATACTAAAATTAATATTTATTGTCTTTTGTGATAAATGTATTTTCAATAAGTATGTATAAATTTATTTTGTTTAGTTATTAAATAGAAAACTTTCAATAGTTATTGGAGATTAAATTACTATTATTGAAATTTTTAAATTTAATTTTTTGTACTTATTGTATTTATTGTGTTTTTATTATAAGTTATTGATTAATATTTAGTAGAGATTAAACTATTATTTGAGATTATACTATTTATTGACTAAGTTAATATATTTTTAGTGCTTATTGTATTTTTGTAATTTTTGTAATTATTGTAGTTTTCATTAGCAATATATTTTCAATTATTGTGTATTTTTGTTATAAATTTTCAATAATTATTGGAGATTAAACTATTATTATTTATTAGAGATAAGATTATTAATTTAGCTAAAATTATGAGTGTTCATGAGTTGGTTCGGTGCGGTTGTAGGTTATTTGGCCAACCAAATTGACCTGGTCAAGTTAGGGAGTTGGTCACTTGAAGCTGACTAACCTTTTGTGAAAACCGACCCATTCAAGTTGTATTGGTTTGGGTCAATTTTTTGGTTTGGTCAGTCTGTTCAAAAGATTTAAACTTAAAAATTTAATTTAATTTTAAAAATTGCAGTGCGATTATTAAATAATAAATTTAAAATTAGATTTATGATATAAAACATTTTAGACTAAGAAATATGGGAAAATTCCCACTTTTCCATATTAAAAATTATATTTAAAATATAAAATATTAATATATCCATGGTTAGGTTGTTTGATTTTGGTTGGTTTACAAATAGCCAAAGTGAAACTGATCCAATTTGGTTGATTTGGGAAATTTTTGAACCGAAGCCAACCTAAAATACTAGAAAACCGACCAACTCGGGTCAAATTAATTGGGTTGGTTGGTTTCATCAATTTGATAAATAAACCAAATTGAAATTAATTATTGTTATTTTTGTATTATAAAAATTTTATTAAAAGTAGTATATAAAATAAGAATAATTATTAATCATTTAAAAAGTTGAAAATATAAAACAATTGTATACTCTTATGTATTTCTATTAGGGTCATTTCTTAGAACACACTTTTAGAGATGACAAATTTCCCCATCCCTGACGGGGACTTGACTTCCCCAACCCAATGGGGCTGGGGATGGGGATTATTTTGGCAGGGCAGGGGCGGGGACCTCAGTCTCCGCCCCACCCGACCCCAATTATATATATATATATATTAAATGTTATTTATATTAAACATTCTATTATATTATTTATATTATATATATATATATCAAAATATATTTAAAATATTATTTACAATTTAAATTTTTATTTATTTTAAATTAATTTATTTAAAAAAATAATATTATCTGAAAACATTTTGGGGATTCGGGTCCCCACGGGGAACCCATCCCTGTCAGGGATTGGGGGTGGGAACTAATTTTAGAATCGAAGTTGGGGCCTTAGGCCCATGATTTCATTAAGGAGTGTTTGTTTTTCCCTTAGGCCCATGATTTTTTATTCCAAAAGTACCCCTAACACTTTTTTGTATAAAAAACAAAATTGAACAAATGTAGCCAATAGAGTGGTTGCCTATGTCTTATTAAGGGCAAAAATGATATTTTTATTTTTATTTTCTTTTTGATTAAATTTATTTAAATGAACATTAGGGTCAACATTGTCATTTTCCATTGTCATCTAATGAAAGATTGATTAAATCTATTGCAAATTATAAGTGGTGTTTTAGTAAAATGCTAATTATAGGATAGATTTTAGTGTATGACTCTTTTTATTATTTAGCTTTCTCTTACTAAATCCCATGCAAGTATCTATCTATCTATCTATCTATCTATATATATATATATATATTAAAACTAGTCATGCCATGTCAGCAGATCTCTCTTTGGAGGAAACCCCTATTCTATTTTTCTATTTTTTTTGTTTTTCTTAATTTTTTAATCCATGTAATTATCTTGCAACCAATCTTTAGGAAGCGTGGGAACGTTTGGACTTCCAAAGCCCCTCCCCACGTCTTCCATTAAATCTTATCTTATAGGAAGCTTAGGAACTTTGGACTTCCAAGCTTTTCTACAAAAACCGTTGGACTCCCATGCATGTTTTCTCTTTTCTTTTTTTCAGTCTAACTTTACTCAGGTCTCAGATTCGAATTCACTTGAGCAGACGTGATTTAGTTTGAAAGAAAAATCTCAGCAACTCTCCAATTTGCTTGCTTAGACTAGGTACGTATTTGATTTTGTTTTTTGTTTTTTTGTTTTGTGAAAAACAGATTTGATTAGGTGATTTATTTTTTTTGCATTATTGGGTTAATTATTAAGTGTTTTTCTGATGCTGAGAATCAAAAATAAAATCGACTCATTAGAAAATAGAGAAAACAGCAAAAAAACAATAAAAATGAAAAAAAAAGTTAACCGGGTCGTCGCAGAACCCGTTTCAACGGTCGGGCAAAGAAGACAATGAAAACGGGTTTTTTCGCGACCCCTTTTTTTTATAGAATATCGGGTACGTCCGAACCCAAATCGTTTTAGGACGGTTCGCA